CAGTAGTACCGTCATTCATTATTGCATTTAATTTATCAATTAATTTTTTAAATTCTTCATCTGCCCAATTACTTTTATTATCAAGATCTTTTATACCTTTTTACTCTAAAAATTCATTGTATTCATCTTCTATTACCTCACTATTTGCTTGTTTTATATACCATCGTCTTTGCTCTCCGATTTCCATAAATTTTAGTCATTTCGTCAACTCTGTTTTGCTCCTCTTTAATATCTTTTATTTCTCCTGATAATTTGTTATAATATTTTTAGTTTCTTTTGTTTTTAATTCTGCTGATCTTCGTTCAAATTCCAGCAGATTATTTATTAGCTGATTTAATGCAGCTTGTCTCGCAGCAGGATCAGCTATAGTTGCTACAAGTGCCACAGCTAATCTTCTTTTCTCTTCTTCAGATCTTTCAATAACTCTTCCAGCAGCTGCTTCTTGTTGTTCTCTAACTAATCCAACCATACCTTTCTCTTGTATTTTTTTAACTTATTCTTCTGATAGTGGTTTATTTTCGGGTTGTATCCTAAGTAAAGCCTCAGTAACTGGTTTTAGAATTGTAGCTACTGTTCCTACTGCAGCAACTTGACCACGTCGTGCTTGCTGTACTATCTGTCTAAATTGTGTTTGAGATTGCGCAATTTTTGTTTAGATGTTCAATGTTTTCTATACTGTGTTTGTTTGTCCATTAATTGTATCATATTTTCTATAAAAATTATTGCAGATAGTTAAATGCAACATCGAAACATTTAACTCTTATCATTCGTTAATTTATCAAACAAGAAAAAGTCACGTCTATTTGCTGTTGCTTGACGATATAGTTCAATAAATTTATCTATTGTTACGTCACCGCATTGCTCGTTCGCCATATTTCTAACGTCAATATTGTCAAGTCCAGGAAATAATATAAAACAAACATGAATTTCGTCTGATAAATGTGTCGACATTATAGTATCCTTGAGCTAGATAAATAGAATTATATTTCTTATTTCGCGACAATGAAAAATAAGATCTGATTTTATTCATTTCCTCGTTGTTTAGCGGAATATCATCAAAATAAACTATTTTTTGTTAGGACGAATCAAGTTGATTAACGGAAACAAGTTTTTACTGTTGTTTGATAATAAACAAATCATCGGCAGATTAAAGATCATTGCGACGTGTGCCATTTTAATTGCTAAATAGTTCGTAATGAAATGTGTAAATATAAACGCGATCGTAGTTAAAATTATCTCTGAGAACTAAATTCATAAGCAAATTTGTTTTGCCCGATCCTGTTCTACCAACAATAAGATAGTGTCAATCTGGAAGTTCATTGTTATGTTTATGTTTCACAAGACGCTCTGTATCAATGTTTAATATGGACGATTTTGCCATTATTGTTATACAATTTTATGGTATACAATTTTGTCAACAATAAATAAAAAATGGGTTTTTGTTCAAAATTTGGAACATCAGTAGGAGATTCGTCGTTTGCTCAGCAAGATGACTTATCTAAATACGTAGCTTTTGATCAGCTCAAAATTTAAATTACTAATTTATTAAATATCACATGTGTAGATAAAAATGAAGTTGTTATTTTTCAAGATAAAGAAGTACGATTAAAAATGAGTAATATACAACTGTCAGATTATTTATACGAATTCCCACTACCGTTGTTAACAATATAGTTACTTTAACTGACCAAGGTAAACTACAGGATTCGGGTAAGTCTGTTAACTATTATAGTAAGAAATCTGGCGATGTAACTACTGGTGACTTTGTTGTATCAGGGAACAAAAATACGTATCTTGGAAACTCATTAACAGATGCAGCAACAAAAAAATACGTCAACGATCAAGAATCCAAGTACGTATTAGTGAACGGTGGTATCATGCGTTCATTTCTCAATCTGAACAATAATGTCATTTGTAATCTCAGAGCACCAGAAATGGATTTGGACGCTGCAACTAAAAAATACGTCCACGATAAGGAAATTCCAATAACGACTTCGTTAACGATAATGAATGAAGGAATTGCCGTATTTAAAACTGATTATAATAATCACGTACAAACGTTTCTAATTTTCGTAGAAATTTAAACAGAACTATTAATGAATTTTTTGGAAGTCCATTAACTCTTATTATTAATCTCGCTGACATTAACGCAAGACTCAACGATATCATTATTGGAATTACTAATATTGTTCAAAAATAAAATCTTGTTAAAATTCCACACGGATGAGCTAACAATATCGTGTACACAGTAGCATCAGAAAAAGCAACATGGTCGCAGCAAAATAACACTCTTAAACACACCGCCGGAGTGACTGGTGTGTATATATATATATATATATATATATATATATATATATATATATATATATATATATATATATATATATATATATATATATATATATATATATATAAATGTATATGTATATATATATGTATATGTATATATATATATATATATATATATATATATATATATATATATATATATATATATATATATATATATATATATATGTTGTTCTTATTTATTGGTGCAAAATTTTGTATACTACATATCTATGGCGTCATTCCACCGATGATTTTCTTGTAACTTTGAATATTGTATTAAACAAAGTTGCAGAAGATACTTTATGCTGGTTGCAAATGATAAAAAGTTAACCGCAGCGATTTCCTGGTGGTGTATTGAATTTGTATTTTTTTTTGTATCTTTTCAATATACGAATTTACGACATGGCTAGCCTAATTATGATTTTCAACGATTGTATATAGTGTAGCACCGTCAACGAATAGTCTTATTGATGGATAACTGTATATCATTTATGATAATAATATATACTAAAAATAATAATCGTCCTGGGATCGATCCGTAAGGGACTCCTGCGTTTATAGATTGAAAATCCGAGAGTCGGGAATTCAGGACAACTCTTTGTTTACTTGATGATAAGTAATGTTCTAACAATAATAGTAAACTACCTCAAATATCAATCAATCTTCTGAAGTTTAACAAGTAATCCGGAAAGCAAATGTAAAAAAAGTTATATCTTCGGTCTAGAGCAAAACAAATCGAAAATCGAATTATAGATATCTATTAACCGATTTGTTGTACAGTCACCAGATTTTAAACCTAACTGATTAGGTGAGAAAAAAAATATTTTGAACAATTAAAATAATGCAGTTATTGGTAGACATAATTTTCAGAAACCTTGGACAAAATGCAAAGGTGTTATTATGGGCAATAGATTGAAATATTTGTTCTACATCGTATTATATACTGGGAACACACATTTGCTGAAATTTAAGAATCTGGAAATCTCTAATATTTAAGAGTAATATTAAAGATTCAATACAGTGGATACTTAATTGGATGTGCAATTATTTTAAGTAAAATGGGATGCAGTATACAGCAAGTTGATATTGTATCATAATATCAATTCGTTTTTCAGACCGTTTATCAACGAATCGTTAAATATGTTAGCTTTATCCCATTAGCCGTTTTTAATCCGTTAATCGCACTTTTTTCCTTGACTTTTCATTAATTTGTAACAAGTTTTTACCACTCATTAGAATTAACTGAACAATTTTAATTTTGTCAGCCAAACACTGATTGCGGAAATGTCGAGATATACGTATTGCATTTATAGTTCTATTTCTTTTTTGGCGATATAACAACCAGTATTATCGGATTTGTGTGCGTTTTGTTGGATCGTAAAGCAGCTTTCTAATTTCATTTTGCAACCAGAGTAGGTCTTTAACACTTATAATAACCTTTTGTGTCACGGTTTTACTTAAAGCAGACTTGTGAATTTAATAACGTTATCATTTTATATCGTTGTTTTCAAATATTTCATCCTACAGAATTTTTTACAGAAGTGAATTTAACAAATTCCTGTTTCTTTTAACATGTAGCTATCTCTCTTATAGCACTCGAATTTGGGGTAGTAAATCTAAATGTTGCATATACTGGGCAATTGTATCTGACTTTCCTAGAATGAAATGGATCAAGGACGCCAGCATTATCTGATGTCCACTCTGTTGTAGAACATTGCCATTTTTCCCATGTATTGCTGCTAAACAAAACGTTCAAATTCTGAGTGGTTCACAAAATCTAACTCCAGCGAGATACGGCATCTCTTTGTACTCTGGATCATCATGGCATAGTAGTTGAACGTCAGCTTAAAATTGAGACGGTCTGAGAGGAAGAACTGGTAGTGTGGCATGTGGCTAAACTCTAAGATGCGTTGTACAATGGCGTTAGCGATAGACCGATATTGCTCGCTATAAGGAGTAGTATCGTTAGTGCAGTTTTGTCTAGCGCCAAAGTTAGTGCCACTCATACACTGGTCGACCGCGTTGGTTCATTCTTTTCCAGTCAACCGAAGATTTTTATAAACGCCTGTCGTCTATTCTGGCAAGCTCAACGCCTTGACCTTGACATTTATCTTCTTGACAATAGTATGGCCCAAATTTTTCACGGTTTAAATGTTTATTGTCTACCTGAGCTCCTACTCAGCTGCTCAAAGCAATTGAGAATGCCAGAATGTTGGTGCCAGGCAAAATAACATCATTTCCCGAAACTTGAAAATTTGACTGTAACCGTCTGGTTTTTTGTCTGTGTGCTTGTGTTGGTGGTGACAAAAATGGTGCTCAAAGAGCGCTACGGAGGCTCATGAATGAGTCGAGTTTGTTTTGAGACGTGCTTGCTGTTTCTGCCACGAGTGGCAATGCTATTGGAGACCAGGTGCCCTCTCTTTAATAAGTTATGTGATGTGATTATGATTTTTAACGTAGCTTTAACAATTTTTCAGTCATATCGCTATGATGTCTGCAGAGTGGCAGTTTATAGTGATGTCTAGCATTGGGGCATCATGCCGCAGACATGTATGATGTTCCACCCAGTCACATTATCCTGACACCAGGCCGACCAGTCCTAACACTAACCTCTTAATCTGAACGCCAAGCGAAGCATCTGATAGTACCATTTTTGTAAGTCTTTGGTATGACTCGACCGGGAATCGAACCCACGACCTCCCGCATTCCTAGGCGGACGTTCTAACCACTAGGCCACCGGTGCAGTTTCTTTAATAAGCGATATACTTTACTTGCTGCTATTACATCATGACTGAAGGGGATTTAGTGCTGAAAATTACTGGTCCTGGGAACAAAAATACGTCGGGAGAATGGCCATTTACCAACCCTTCTGAGTTGGAAAGCCGGCTGCTAAACTAAGGTGGAGACTAATAAGTAAATCTCAGAATGGAATTCGCAACGCAGAGATTAATTATATTTTTAAGCAATTCAGAATAAAAGCAAAAACAGATCCATGACGACAATATCGTGCAAAACGATAAACTTCAAATCTGGAAGCAATAAAATACATTTTGAGTATGACCGCGATGAAAATGCCTTACGCCATTTCCGCGCTAGAAAATGCCCATGGCCGTTCTATATATAATTATCTGCCGAGACAAGTGGTCAGTCTCACAAAAGTGCGTGTCCAAACAAAGTCGCCGCCAAAACCAATAAAATCAAAAAGGGTGCATACGAGTACAAAGACGCCATATAACCATCTCTATATGAAAGAGACAGAAAGTAGCCACACGTCCTAATTGCAGCTAAGGAAGTGGAACCCGGTGTCCTTTTCCAGGAATTCGACGCATGGCGAGAACGGTACCGCAGCTTAATTACCGCTATCTGGGAGTTTATTGGATAAATTACGCACACAGATTCAAGAGTCAATCCTTCTTGAGAAGCTGAGAATCTTCGTTTGCCAATAGGGATTCACTGTAGCCTAAATTCTCACGGCATTTGGTTTATCAAAAGTACGGGTGGCGTTTGTAAGAGCATACCAGATACCCTACATTATAACAAAGGCTAGAGAAAGGTCCAATAGCATACTAATCCGCCGACTTGAGCAACTCATCTTTTATACTTGCATAACCAAAATTCCAAATGAAATAAATCAATTCAAAAATATTCTTTAAAAAAATTCAAAGAGGTGGAGAACATCCAATTATCTTTGAAGATCCACTACACTTTCCACCTCGAGAATCGATCATCTTTGTCTTCCTCGATTATCTGGTTTACATATGTCTTGTATTAAATCTTCACTGTTTATGTCTGTTATTCTATCGGCATTCAGTAATTGTGTGCTCATCTTTTGTTGTATTTACGATCATTTACAAATAAATACTTTCTATCATTCTATAAGGTCTGGAATTAATATATTCTAACCAAATCGACAGAAGTACTCAAAATGTTATGGCCCGATTGCGGCGTTTCCCCGTCCCTCTGTGCGGGCGCCCAAGGTTGTCAGTTATTTTGTCTGTTCGATGGTCACTCGGTTACTTAATTGCTTTTACAATATCTAGCTTTTAAAATGCAAAAAATAAACAAGCAAAACGAACTAAAGTGCGGCGGCATGTTTAATTCGTACAATTTGGGGCATGAAAATTAATGAGTTTGTTTAAAGCAAATTTTCAAAGGTACAAATTCGATCTTACGATAAAAAAAAAAGTATATCCAGCAAACGCGTAGTACATTTTTCACAGGTAATAATAATAACGTACGTAAGGAAATTATATAACTCATACAAAAGTCACATATATAAATGTACATGTAAAGAAAATGCTATTAATATAAGCCTATTACCCAGCAAAATTTAAAATGTCAGCGGAAACAGATTCTCTTTAGAATATACGCTATTTTACTTATATTATGTCCTGAGACGCATAATTTATGACATAAACTAATCTATATTTCACTTAATTCATCTTTGTGTGTGCTTGATGACGCGAATACCAAGTTGTACTCTACTCTGGGAATTTGTCACAACCCGTCCATTTGGTGTACAGCCAGTCAGAAAGCCAGGTTGGTAGGTATGGGTGCAATCGGGCAGCCATCTAGAAGAAAAGAAAATTTAAGATCAAGAATTGAAGAGTGTAGAATAATAATTAGTCCGCTTTGGATTAATTACTCCTTTTTTATCGGGTTTTACATGTAACGTGGACACTGATGATCAATAGTAATCACACATATAATTAAATCCAATCGACTGTTAATAGACATACGGCATGTTAAAAGTCTTCATAGGCTATCTGTCTCGATCTGAGCAATGAATCATTGTCAACAGTGCACTACTGTTGTAAATTACGTCATATACATCTCTAACAAATAGATTAACATTTTAATTATTTCTGCAGGAAATTTTTTTTTATTCCTATGTATAAACCTAGATTACTGTGAACGACATATTATACGGCCGTCCCGTGTACAGTACTCTTGTAGGCACAAGTTGGGTATGGTGAACTCAGGAGATTATTGTCCAACGGATCTCATTTGCCTCAACTTGTGGTCGAGATGCGCGGTCTGAATCTAAACTTAATATGCAGCAACCATTATTCTCTTATTAGATTTACCATGACAGGGACCCCTGATCTTTAAACCCCTAACTCAAATGATTTGCAGAAAATACAAGCAATCTGCAATGTTTGGTCAAGGATTTTACTATAGAACAAAAGTTATTCTATAAAAAAAACCCCTGATATTTCGAATCATAACAACCTGGGCCTTTGACATTTTGACCTCAAAATTACAACCCTTTTTCTTACATTTAGTGCGATCCATCAGCAAATGTTTGGTCAATTTATGTGGTCTAGAACTGAAGTTATTATGCAAGAACAATTTGTCTTCTTTTAGTCACACTGACTTCCGCTTTACCCAGTGTGCAAGCCATCTATAAAGGTTGTTTCGGGTCCATGATATAGAACTATCTTTATTGTGCGGAAGCCATATTTCTTATTTATTTCAATCGGGATTCTTCTTGAAAAAAAGTCGAACATATCCACAAAGTTTGGTAACTTTAGAATGTGCAGAACATTTTTTTTTAATTTTAATTAAAATGTCCTTTACCTTTACCTTTTTAACTCCCTTCCACAAGTACAAAAGATTTACAATGTGTATTAAGCTTTAGATGGCGGAGAACTCGAAACATTGTACTGAAATAATTGTTTCTTCCTTCAGGCACAGTGGCCTTGGCCATTTGATCTCTTGACACTGATATCAATAAAATTATTCCTTTCCCCAAGTGAAAACCATTTAGTAGATGAAAGAAACTATTTTCTTGTTTTAGTCACACACTGATCTTGGAACTCGAAAATCAAGATGGCTTTTCATTACCTCGCGTGTAAGCTAAGCAAGCGATCAATAAAGTTTGGTAACTGTAGATGGTGGAAAAGTTGAGTTATGGTGCTTAAACAAAATAGGTGACAGACGGACAGACGCACAGTATAACTTAATACGCTCGGCATTATGGTGAGCGTTAAAAGGTCGCAAGGATAATGTAGAATTGTACCTCTCGCTTATAAGACAGATATATCTGACTCGTACATCTGAAACCTCGACCACAGTGCATTGCAATACTCGAACACGTTCTTTTTAAGCGTATGAACTTCGACCTTGTTAGATACGTTTTACGTGAAGTCAACTAATAACCCTTATGATGAAGTACAACCAGAAAAATCTTAGACTTTTTAAAACAAAATGCTTTATATAATACAACTGTACCCACATTCCAGACATTTCATATTGCCTACCTTTTTTAAACAAATTGATTTGCTTTTTTAAAGAATAAAACATTCTTAACTTTCTATCGTATCTTGTATGAAGGGCTTATCTTTCTAAACATTTGCTTTTATGGCAATTGTTTATCGTAACTTAGATAGAACTAAACGTTAATTAAAACAATGCAAGCAGCATGGTGCTCACGTATAGACAAACCCCATATTTATTTACGTATCAGGATGTTCTAATGACATTAACAGTTTTCATAGTTTATAAGTTCTGAAAATCCCAACCCGCAATATCAGTTATAACTAACTAGGGTTATATGAGTAATACTTATTTGTCAATGTTTTTTATATTAAGTTTGTCTCCCTTCAGTTTATCTCTGACTCTGACAAGCACCGAGTTTTCTCAAATTAATATTTTGAAACTTACTGCATTGATATCAAACATTTTGTTTGTTCCTCCAACTAGGTACCTCGTTCTAGGAGTAAGATTGATCAGAGCGTCCTCTAGGGCGTCGATAACTGGTTCTGTGGTTGGATAGGAATTTAAAGATGCAGACTGCTTCTCAATCATCGCCTCCAAATAGCGCTTTCCGTATGTGGTTCGCACGCTATCTGACGCTTCCCTCCACATTTCTTCTGCTTCTTCTCTGTATCTCTTAAACTGAATATGGATGGAGTAATTATTCAGACTATTTTAATACTCAGAATATTTTTGAATTTATAAACAATTGACAAATTATAGTGTGAAATTCAGTGGAAAAGATTCGTACTACCCTTTGTTTTAGAAACAATGAAATTTGGGAATGAATTTTTTCGGTTAAAGGAGTAGGGGAACTTTATATCACAGAAGGGAAAATTCGGGACCAAACTACAAGCTTCGATCTCGAGGGGATACCTGTATGTCCTCTCTCTCTCTCTCTCTCTCTCTCTCTCTCTCTCTCTCTCTCTCTCTCTCTCTCTCTCTCTCTCTCTCTCTCTCTCTCTCTCTCTCTCTCTCTCTCTCTCTCTCTCTCTCTCTCTCTCTCTCTCTCTTAATTGTTCTAACCTTCATTTTAAGCATGTCCACGCTTTTCATTTTGTGCGGTACTATGTCTGATGCTTAAAATCTTTCTCCTCGGTTTGGTTGTTAGAATTTATTTGGATCAAATCACAAATTATGTAACTCTTGTAAACTTGTTGCTAATTATCCCGATAGTTGCCTCGGAGGCCAACCATGCTGATCTCAACGGTTCTTGAATCCCTTCATGCTTAAAGGGCTTTGAGTGATAGTAGGGCTAGTCCATGCTCTGCCATCGTATCTTGCAAGTACAAAAAGTAGAGTGATTTCATACCTGAACTTTGTTTTGACACGCCGTTGCAGCGGAGAAGTCACCGGGTTCGATGATGGATACCTTCACATCGAACTTAATCATTTCCAGCCTAAGAGAATCTGCCACCGTCTCCAGGGCAAATTTAGTGGCATGGTACGCACTATCACCCGGGCATGGATAGCAGCCCTTCACACTCGA